CTGATGACGTCCTCAAATGTCTTTCTTTCTTCAATCAACAGCGCAAACTACCAACTATGTTCAGTGTTCTTTTACATAACACAAAGATAAGAAGCTGATTTTCACCACTAAGAAGCTGAAACTATTTAAAAGATAAATTAGTGCTGTCAGCGTTAATCTCGTTAAAATGACGTTAACACCAGACCGCATTAACACTACAAATCTCCGTTAGCAAGTTAGCGCGGTTAGCTCGTTAACCCATTAGCGCAATGCAGGCGTTCACAAGGGGCGGTCCACATTAACTCGTTAACGGAGAGTTGCAGTCATTTTAACGAGATTAACGCTGACAGCACTAACATAATTACAAATCCAATAAATGTCTACTGACCTTGTTTTAGTTTACATAAAAAAATGACAAAAACATTAACTGGAAACAGTACAGAGACTGACAATTAATCAGTTTCATCACAATCACGACAAACAAAATAACTGACTTATGTCAGCGCGGGTGTGCAGCTAGTATAGAAAATGGAAAGACAACAACAACAACAACAACAACAACATGTGACTAATGCAAATGACTGTTTCTCTGGTGTTTTTTTATTAGTGTTGTTTGAATACTTTCCCCTAGAATGTCACATGGTTTCTAAGAACTGGGCCCCCTGTCTCAAATTACTAAAACACAAAAAGTCAATACTCCTGTGGGGTTTATGGATAGCTAAACATCAGCATCTTTGAAGATGCCATTATGAGCTAAGCAGACAAAAGGCTGATAGAAAGAAAATACTGCTACTGCATCCCAGTGTTAGTTAGGCCAAAGCGCTCCATCAGGGATGAAAGTGGAGCTTTACATGTAAGTGAAATACAAATCATTGTTTGTTTTTGGTGACAGTGTCTGTCTGCGAGTTATTCCACGTTACACTAAGGCAAAGCTGCTCCAAATATGGCCCTGACATGTCATTGCTCCATTCTTTCCTTAGTCCCAGCGCTAACCACATCTGTCATATAAACAGTCTGCAACTTGGCAGATGACAAAAACCAAAACAACAGAGTTGGAACTAGACAAAAAAAAAGGAAAGTATGACTCATCTGGCTAATAAAAAGCCAACAGCTTAGGAAGCAGAGTTTACTTTCAGGGTAAACAACTGAAAGAAAAATCTAGATTTGGACATCTTAATAAGAGAGTGAGGAAAGTACAGCAAATTACTCATTTTCCCCAATTTATATGAATTACACAGGAAATTAGGTTAGGTACTAAAAAAACTGAGCATAAAACTATCACAAGAGAAGGAATGTGGGACAGAAACTAAAGGGCAATACAACCTTTTATTTGTAACAAGAAGAAACATTTAATTTATGTAAATGTTTTTTTATTCTGTATTCAATAATGCAGAGTTCTCTGGAGAGTAACAAAACAAGGAAACATATTTATTTCCTCAATAAACTGGGAACATTTTCCTCTTTTAGAGCAACAATGGCAGCACAAGGTC